TTCGAACCGTAGAATACAAGTCGAGCGCCCTAACCACCTGGCTATGCCTTTTTATAAATTTAGCACACTAACAAATGTACAACGTGTAACAAAGAAACTTTATTACACCATTTTGATAAGTTTTGTCACACAAGATATTGACAAAACTTTATCGTAACTTTGTACATTTGTTATTATGTTAAACATAATTTTTTTCTCTACCCATTCAAGCCGACTCCAAACTTTATTGGCTTATTATGATGATGGTTTAAAGCCTGCATCATCATTGCATTTTTTACGACTCTCAGAAATTCTTAACTTCTAAGAAACTAGTAGTTCATAAAAATAAAATAAATAAATGATAGAAATAATATACGGGAAAGTGGCAAAAAGAGGGAAACTGATGGTAGTCAAAAATAAAGGTAATCCAATAACAGACGAAGTGTATAAGAACTAGTGGCTAAAAACATCTAATAATAGAAGAAATGAATGAGATCTACTGAATAAAAAGGCAATCTAATATTGGAATAAGTGGGTGAGATCTAGTGAAAAAAAAGGCAATCTAATATTGGAATAAGTGGGTGAGATCTAGTGAATAAATAAGGCAGTATAATAATGGAAGAAGTGGGAGAAATCTACTGAATAAAAGAAGTAATCTATTAATGGAAGACATGGATGAGATCTGGTGAATAAAAAAGGTAACCCAATAATGGACGAAGTGGTTAAGACCTAGTGAATAAAAAATAATCTAATAATAGAAGAAATGGTTAAAATTTAGCGACTAAAAAAGGCACTCTAATAATGGAAGAAGTGGGTGTGATCTAATGAACAAAAAATATAGGTAATACTATAAAGCTCAAAGGGATGCCGTTTTTATATTTTTGGTATCATTTGGGATATTGTTTTTAAAAATCTTGAAACTGAAATACCGCTTGCCATGGGGTGTCGGAACGTAAGCAGAAACAATAAAATCTAATATAAGTCTTTTAGGAATACTTGGAACATACATACAGCGAGACATAGATTTTATAAAAATTATAGAGTTCGATAGTTTATAGATTTTTTTCTCGAACTTAAAATCCAATCTTCTACGAGACTAGTAAAGTACATGTATTCAGGGAATTTCCTATGGCGCGCCGTTAATCCTGAGTTGGTATTATGTTTACTTCGACATTTCATGATTTAAAAATACACTTAAAATTTATGCCTCTTACTAGCTCAACAACAGCAACAGGTAAACTAACATAGAGCGCCATCTTTAGACATTTTCTTCAATTAAATCAATATTTCAATGTAACTTTGTTGAAGCTTTATGAAATATATACTTGCATGTATATATATATATGTGTGTGTGTGTGTGTGTAGCTCCAGAATCTTGTAAAAAGATCCAGATAATAGAGCAATTATATTCTGTTTCCTTTTCTCGATCTTTTCTATCACTCCTTCGGCATACATATAAATATATGTGAAGTTTTCTGGCTGTCTAGACATTCATTAATAACTTTCAAATGTCGTAGAGACTTCTAATAAATTTCATCACACAATATGAAAAAAAGCACGCGCCATATAATTATTCTCCAACATATAAAATAGCTTTCGCACAATATAATAATATTGTTTATGATAACTTGTATACAACAAGATTGTGTCAACTCCAATCAAGGCGAACGAGTATTAGTAATCTGTAGAAAAAATAATAGTTATTTATAAACATTCTGTTAATAACGACGCATTGAATTTTCAAAGACGAACCTTGTGAAAGGCAGAACAAACGTTTTAGAAACAATAATTTCAGATTCGATATTGAAAGCTGTAGGTTGTCTTCATTTTTAATTTTCTTAAACAATGAATTCGCGTTACGCGCCAGCTTTTTATTGTATAACATTGTCTTTGTAGTAAATGATTCATAATTAACAACTCCTACCTTTTGTAGCCGGACAACTGGGTTTCAGAAGAAAAGTTCAAAACAAAACGTTTACCAAGCGGAAGGCTAATTCACAGTGTTGGCCCCATACGTTATTTCGAATACCAGTCTATTTCAGTTTGCTTACTAAAGATGCAGTCTCAAAAACCTGTCTTAAAGCTTAGTTTTCACTGCGGCATTCTTATGATAGGAGCAGGGTGACTTCGTTTTTGAAGTGTTTCAATCCACCCCGTTGCCGCCACCTTATACTGCGTAATATCCTCCTCACAATAAGGTAACATGCAGCGGGTCTTGGCCGTCGCCAAGGCAACAGCACCCTCCTACTCCTCTACGCACGAGAAGGAGAACATAGTGCGCTCTCTCGCGGTACTTTAAGAGATCAATAGCAACCATTGCAACACACACAGAAAGACATTGGTGTTACTAACAGGTGGCTGCTTACAGCGAAAAAAAAAAAGAACTGAGACGCAGTGTTTGATTGTTCTGATTATTTTTATATTCAATCTGCAGTACATCTGGAGCACAAGGGCAGTCAACTACTACACTAAAAAAACAACAATTCTTATAAGTAAACGTAATACGAAAACATTTAAAATGTGGTTAATGCTTATTATGGTGCATTTTTTTTGTAGTATTGTTACACGTAGATGTGTGTATTCTAATCATATCATGAGATAATAAGTTGTAGGTCATCGAACGCCTTAGCGGAAGGCACATGATTTAGTCGTATATTACTATTACCCTATTCATATGTAATAATGGGATGCAATATTTTGTGTGATATTACATCTCAGCAAGATTGTTGATGATCTAAAACATGTCATTTTTTTTCTGGTCCAATACGACTGTCTGTTGTACGCCACTTATTTTTTCTGGTCCAGTACGGCTGTTTGTTGTACGCCACTTATTTTTTTTTTCTGGTCCAGTACGACAGTCTGTTGTACGCCACTCATTTTTTCTGGTCCAATACGACTGTTTGTTGTACACCACTTATTTTTTCTGGTCCAATACTCGACTGTCTGTTGTACGCCACTTATTTTTTCTGGTCCAATACGACTGTCTGTTGTACGCCACTTATTTTTTCTGGTCCAGTACGACTGTCTGTTATACGCCACTTATTTTTTCTGGTCCAATACGGCTGTTTGTTGTACGCCACTTTTTTTTTCTGGTCCAGTACGACTGTCTGTTGTACGTCACTTATTTTTTCTGGTCCAATACGACTGTCTGTTGTACGCCACTTATTTTTTCAGGTCCAATACGGCTGTCTGTTGTACGCCACTTATTTTTTCAGGTCCAATACGGCTGTTTGTTGTACGCCACATAATAAAATACTTCACTTTCCCTTAAAGTTGGTTTCGTTAGCAACATTGGTTATAACGTTTGAAATTATTTTTAATATTATTATTACCATTTTATTAATACTGATATTCACACTTATGAAGATTCTTTCGGGTTTTTTGCTTAATAAATGGCTTTAACTAGCTTAAATCTACTAATTTGATCTTACCTTATTATTAAGGATAATGGCTGAAAATCCGTTAATAGCGAAGATACATACTGATGATTGATTGATTTTTTTAATTTTCTAGTTGTTAACGCATGATATTACCTGTCGTTTGTAAGTTTGTTAAATATAATTTTCTTCATTATTTTGTGTAGTTGGTACGTTATTCTTTAGTTTTGTGTAGTTGGTAAGTTATTCTTTTTTGATCTATGTAGTTACGTTACTTTTGATCAGGAATTCTTATTGATTGAAGTACTATTGCACTTACTGGAAGCCACATTGGACAAATATAGTATGATACGAGTTGAAATATTGTTATTGAGTGTTAGTATTATAATATCACACACACATTAGAATTTATTATGAAATTATACGTGTGGTGTTTTTGTTGTTGTTGTTGTGTTTTTCTCACCACAGTAGACCTATGTTTATATAGAGTATGAATGATATGTAGCATTGATGCTACTAACGTATTCAGCAGAAAAGCTGTTTGAAATACTAAAAATAAAAATAAACATGAAGCTTTATCTATCATTTTATTCCCCACTTGCTATTGAGTTATACTATTTTGGGGAATTGCACTCCTCATGAGTAACCCTGGATAAGGGCAGATGGAAAAACAAGAAAAACCTTCTTATATTACATCATAGGTATTATATGTGTTTGTTCTCATTTACTCGCCACAGTGAGCCTATATTTAAGTAGGTACTGCATAATGTGTGGCACTGATTTACCCTTGTCAGGGGTTACCGATGAGGTTTGGAATACCCGAAACCGGTATAGCTCAGTGACTAGTTGTGAATCTAATAATAGATTGAGCTTCATACATATATATATATTATTAAACCTTTATACTAATAAAACTTTCTAGTTAAATGTATTAGTATACAAACTACTTCAAAGGAATGTAAAGCTATGGAGTCAAGTCGTTTTTTGTCGCTTATGTGTCCCATTATTATAAATTAATATGCTTGATCAAAGTCATTCCAAAATAATTAACATCCATACCATTACACGCACCTTAGCGATGAACATACACACTTCATTAAATACATCATGTAATGCGCAAATTATTCTGTAGTCACAACATTGGTACATTTCATTACAATGACGTTTCAGTAATTGTTTCTATCGGTTAGTATTCCAATACTTATGTTTTTGTTTGTTTAGCTACTTAGCGTTAACTGAATGAAATCAAGCTTTTTCTTACATCAATTTTTATTTACTAATAGTTTCGTTATTACACTTTTATCGTGACAGTCATGTCGCTGGAACAACAAGATGTATTCCAACTGAAATTAAAAACATCTTAATGAAGGTTTAATACCGAAACTTTTGATGACAGTATGCTTCTAATAAAGGTTCAATACCGAAACTTTTATGGCAACATGCTATTAATCAAGGTTTATTACCGAAACTTTGATGACAATATACTGTTAATGAAGATTTAATACCGAAACTTTGATGGCAGCATGCTATTAATTAAGGTTTATTACCGAAACTTTGATGACAATATGCTTCTAATAAAGGTTCAATACCGAAAAGTTTATGGCAACATTCTATTAATCAAGGTTTATTACCGAAACTTTGATGACAATATACTGTTAATGAAGATTTAATACCGAAACTTTGATGGCAGCATGCTATTAGTTAAGGTTTATTACAGAAACTTTGATGACAATCTACTGCTAATGAAGGTTTAATACCGAAACTTTTGATGACAGTATGCTTCTAATAAAGGTTTAATACCGAAACTTTTATGGCAACATGCTATTAATCAAGGTTTATTACCGAAACTTTGATGACAATATACTGTTAATGAAGGTTTAATGCCGAAACTTTGATGACAATATGCTGCTAATGAAGGTTTATTACAGAAACTTTGATGACAATATGCTGATAATGAAGGTTTAATACCGAAACTTTGATGACAATATGCTGCTGATGAAAGTTTAATATCGAAACTTTGATGACAGTATACTGTTAATGAAGGTTTAATACCGAAACTTTAATGACAATATACTGCTAATGAAGGTTTAATACCGAAACTTTGATGGCAACATGCTATTAAGTAAGGTTTATTACTGAAACTTTGATGACAATATGCTGCTGATGAAGGTTTAATACAGAAACTTTGATGACAATATGCTGCTGATGAAGGTTTAATACCGAAACTTTTGATGACAATATGCTTCTAATAAGGTTTAATACCGAAACTTTGATGGCAACATGCTATTAAGTAAGGTTTATTACCGAAACTTTGATGACAGTATACTGCTAATGAAGGTTTAATACCGAAACTTTGATGGCAACATGCTATTAAGTAAGGTTTAATACCGAAACTTTGATGGCAACATGCTATTAAGTAAGGTTTATTACCGAAACTTTGATGACAGTATGCTGCTGATGAAGGTTTAATACCGAAACTTTTGATGACAATATGCTTCTAATAAAGATTTGGCATGATAAATTACAAAAAAAAAACAGTTTTGGCCTTGCTATATTTTTCTTCAAGTAATGTGTTTATTGTTTAATCTAAATTAAAATGGAAGTCTAAATGATAACTCTATTATATCACCTGGAATATTTTATAAGTTAGGATCTATATTGCACAGAAACTAATGTCATTGATGAATATTTGTTTAGCTTTTAGCGTGTTTTAATTTAAAAAGTAGATTTTATGTTCTGTAATTTTCGGATTAATATTTTTGTAAGATTTGACATTTAGGCCTGTCAACTTTCCCGATTTCGGCGGGAGTTTCCCGATATGGAGTCTTGTTTTCCGATTTCCCGACACACGACCAGGGTCTCCCGATATCAACCTTTTTAATAATTTAACAAAAGAAATAGAGTCGCAAAATTCAACTTCACAGAGTGACAACAAGGATAAAGTAAATATTTACTGATTTTGTGTGACATTGTTATACTTTGTTGTGTTATACTGTCTGCTTCAAGTGAAAGGACATTTTCAAGGTGAGAAAGATCGTAACAGAGAACAGGACTGATTTAGGGCATTACTATGTGCCCTTTTAAACCGCAAGTTTGACTCGGATTCTTCAGCCAGTAAATACAAGCCCAGCAAGCAGGTATTGAAAGATGCCAAAAGTGCAACGTACGAATATAACAAAGAACGCTAATCAGAATATGTGTATTTTTCAATTCTTACAATATAAATGCATAACAATAGCAAATGACTGTGATTTTCTTAGTATATAAGCCCACTGTAAATGAAAAAAAAAAGGAAACATCATTTGAATCTTATAAGTGTAAATAAATGTCTGAAGTTCTCCCAGAATGCATAAAAGTGCACCTATTTTTCTAAATTTTCTGGGGATCATGCCCCCCCCCCAGGGGACGTACTCGCTGTTGTAGTGCCTCCACAAAAGTCTCCCGATTTGGCACCTATCAGTGTTTATAGGTATGGGCATTGTGGTGATCGAGAGCTCACTTATGACACTTAATTTTCTTGAAAAAGAATAAAATTATAAACATAATCTAAATCATTTTACTCTTACAGTAGACATAACCATTGTATTTTAGTTTGAACTTCTATTCATGAGTTTTAAACACTTAATATATCCTATTCTATTAAAGTTACGTCATTATAATTTTATTAACTGTGAATACAAAAATGTATTGAATTATGTCATTGAAGACAACGTTCATTTGTCTCATGGCAGCCAATGATCACTCAATTTTAATAATTCCTGTTTCTTTGTTAACAAATCAAGCAATTACATTAATATA